TCTATCTATCTATCTATCTATCTATCTATCTATCTATCTATCTATCTATCTATCTATTGAGACAAGGATTCTCTGGATAGGCCTGGCTGTCCTGGAACTTGCTTTATAGACCAGGCTGGCCATTAAAGATCCGCCTGCCTCTGCCTCCTGAGTGCTGGGATCACAGTGCACACTACCATGTCTGGCCTGAATGCTGATTTTGGTCATTTTTTTTACTAGCCACAGGGTCCTCCCCAGACCTAGCAGGGGACCATGCAGGGAAGAGGACATTTCCAGCCTAGGAAAACAAATATTCTGCTTAAGAATCAATCAAAATAAAGACAATTAGGGGCATCTGGGGCCTCAGGGTCCCTGACCAATTCCTCCATCCTACAACCTCAGTACCACAGGCAATGCCTATTCAACCCACCTCTTTTTAATGCCTAAGTATTACAGGGCTCAGGGGGTATACTTGCAATTCCAACAACTGGAGGCTGAGGCAGGAGGATGGAGAGTTGGAAATCAGCAAGAACTTGTCTAAATAAAGAAGACGTAAGACTTCTTTCAGACTTGTCCTGAGAATATCATGCAGCCACAGGTTTGAGGTACAAAGTCACACTCTTTAATGTCAATTACAAGGTCACAGTCCGTGGTGGTTCCTGACTCTTGGGAGAGAGAACTAGGGTAGGCCTTGGGAGAACTGTTTGTAGGGAAACTGTGTCTTGTGGCAGTGTGGATAATGCCAGGTACCCCTGTCCGATCATGCTCAGACATTGGACACTGAAGCCTCAACAGTAATTTCCATAGTCTCCCACCAGGACGTCCTCCTCCTTGCCTTTGTCTGATATGGTTGCTGCCCCTTGGCCAAGAGCCCCAAGAGGAAGCTCTGGGGTTGCACTTAATAACTCTGGCTTCCTCTATACTGCCTGGTGGTGCAGAGGGCTGGGGGGTTGAAGGAGTGTGGAGATTAGCAGTCACTGCCTCCTAAAAGGTCTTCTCTTGAGGCATCCTTCTGTCCTTCATCCATCCGTCCATTTGTCCATTGGCTCCCCAGGTCCCTTCTCCTTTGTTTCAGAGGCCTCCAGCTGCTGTCACCCCTGAAACAAAGGAGGTGATAGAAATATGGGCACCTGAGTGGACAGAGGATGGATGGATAGATGGATGGAAGGATGGATAAGTATCTAAGTGGCTAAGCCGAGGATGGATGGATGGATGGATGGATGGATGGATGGATGGACAGACAAGCATCTGAGTGACCAAGCAGAAGATGGTTGGATGGGGAGGCTAGGGGGCAGAGCAGAGGAAGGAAGTAAACATTTGTCCCCTGACCCTTAGCCACCCCATGTAGTAAGTTGAACAGTGTCCCTGAAAAAGACATGCTCAGGTCCTATCCTAGTCTATGTAAATGTTACTTTATTTGGAAATAGGGTCTTTGAAAACATGATTGACCTCAAGATCTCAAAGTAAGAGCCTCCTGAGTTTAGGAGGCTGCTTTCTACTCAGCAACAGATGCCTGTCCAAGGGAGAGATGAGCAGAGAGGACAGGGAGCAGAAATAAGGGCAGCTAGAAGCCAAGGAGGCCTAAGGTGGTCAGGAGAGCTGCAAGGATGCCCCGCTCCTAGAGTCTCAAAGGACTCTAGGACCCTGTCAGCACCTCAATTGTGGACTTATGCACATCTGTCCTAGCAGCCACAGGGGACAAACCTACACACGCTCCTGGTCTCTGTGCTAAGCCTGTACCTATTCATGACTGGTGCCCACCAAAGACCTGCCCTTTCCTGGATCTGTGGGTACCTGAGTGCAGCCAGCTGAGAATGCCACACCCTTCCAGAGAGCAAAGAGGAAGTCAGGAGGACCCGGCTCCCACCGGAGCCCTTTGCAGTGTGCAGACGCTCCCTGCTCCGGAAAATTTTGGCCCTTGAACTTCAGACTGACTGAGTAATCACCTGCCTGGCCAAATGGGGCCTCGTCTCTGCTTACTGACTTAGCGAACCAGGTGCCTCTGGTTCTCCAAGGTTTGCCCTTTGACCATGGTCTCCAAGAGCATTCTGAAACTGCTCTAATAGCCACAAGGTCCCAGCATCTTCTAGGATGGGCAGGAGTCCCAGAAGAAAGTGAGCGTGCCCCACCTAGAAGCTGGCCAGCTTTCTTCCTCCCACTGAGTGTTGTTCTAGTAACTGTCAACTCTCTCACCTCCATGGCCTGGACTGCTTGTCTGTGTTCCTGGCCACTGTGGTCACTCAGTTTCAGAATGCTCTTGGAGGTGGCAGCAAACATCACTATTTGGTGGTTGGATGTATGAATGAATGACTGATTATCCACTTCCAGTGGTACTGTCCCCGCCTGGCCTCAGCCTTCTGTCTTCCAATGGTGCTATCACATACCTTCCAACTCATCACAGGGGAGGGAATCCTGACGCAAGGGCCCTGGAGTCCCTAGAGTCTGTTTCCCAAGAAAATGCCATTCCTCACCTCTTCCCCAAACACACCTACACACCCAGCTTCCAGAGTCCAGTCCCCAGTTCTGGGGAGTTGCCAACAGGAAAGGGGTGTGGACTTGGCTTCACAGTTGTTTTCCTGATGAAGGCTAGAAGCCAGGGAGGAAACGCTGTAGCCACCAGCTCCGTTCCTGTTATCCAAAGGAACCGAGCACTAGCGGTCTCTCTCAGCTCCAGGTCAGGAGACCCTAGCTGTGCCTCAGACTCAGACCTAAGTATATCGAGCCGTCCTCCCTGAAATGAACATGGTACCCGTGCGCACGGTACTTACTGGTCTGTACATCACACGTAACAGGGCATCCAGGCTCCTACGTGGGGAGAAAAGAGTAGATCTGCCGTGGCTGCCTGGCCTGCCCCCTCCAGTGTATATATTTCCCTTTCCCACTGGGACCTGCAGAGGATGCATTGTCTCAGCTCCCTGCTCCCACTTGTTCTCCTGAGGTCGCTCTGGCCCCTTCTCCCTCCAGGACCACAGCTTGCTCCGACTTGTGCTCAGGCTGGACTGCCTCTCTTCTGCTTGCTCTATGAAATGGCCACCCTCTCCTTCCAACAGCTGGAAGTCTTCTCCATACCTTCCCTGCTTCCCCTGCTGCCTGGGTCCTCAGGGTCCATTGTCAGCAAAGCTTCTTTATTAGCTAACGGTTCCTACCTTCCAGCCCTTTTTATACTTGAAAAAAATCTCTGAAGCCAGAGCTCTCTGCACCATCAGAGACAGCATGATGAAGGGTATGAAACATAAGCCTGCCTTCTAGTACCTCTTCTCGGCCTCTCTCAGCGATGAGCCAGCTAGGAGGAGAGGGATTCGTAGAACTGGGTGTGGACCCAGGATGTCTGGCTCCTGGCTCACCTCCCGTGAAACAGAGAAGGAAATCTCTGCTGGGCCTAGAGCCAATGAGGGAAGAATGGGGTACTTGGCTCCATGAGACGCCCTGAAACAGCTACAGCGAAGTGCCTGCTCAGAGGTGTTGGGACCCAGGGGCCCTGAGCCACTCCAGGCCCACCTCTCTCTGGCTGAAACTTCTTACTCTCAGAGATCTTTCCTTTGTTTTTTCACAAGCTAGGTGGTAGCAGAATTGTTCACCTATTTCTCAGGGGGATAAAGTAAAGACCGGGTCAAATGACATTTGCCCTGGGATATTATCTCCCGGAGAAATAGGTGAACAATTCTGCTAAGCCTGAGAACAGGCTTCCCACTTCCCAGGTCTAGATGCTTCTGCGGAGACGTGAGTCATTCCCCCAGAAAAGAAAATTAGGCCCTAGAATTTTGATGAAAAAAAAAAAAAAAAAAAAGGAAGAGATGATCAAAGCCCTGGTTCCCCATCACCCACGTTTGGGTCCTAAGCTGCCAGGAGACAGTGAGCTTCCTGGGATTCTGGAACTTTCCTGCTCTCTGAATCCTTGTGCATCCTTGGGGGTCACTTCCACTAGCAAGCTTTCCTTGATGCTCTGGGAGGCTCTATCTCTGAGCTCCTATACTCCCGTAGAAGTCCCTAGCCTGTAAGCTCCTGGCTGATGGCCCAGCACTGTGGCTGCAGTGCCTGAGCAAATATGTGCACAACAGGCAGGCTTCAAGGCTGAGCTGGCATTGACGCCTCCCTTCTTGCTGGGTCCCCAACCCCAGGAACACAGGCCAACCATCTGACCCTTATCTGAGCTTCCAAGACCCCTCCCTCACTACCCCCCAGCCAGGGCCTTGTCTGCCTGGCTGTCTACTCACTTGCTCCGTGGCTTTCCCGTGGAACACGGGCTGTGGCAGGGCCATCTCCAGCCTGTGTAGGAGCCACTCGATCAACCTGTAGTGGAGAGATGAGCCCAATCCAGGTGAGAAGACTTGGGGTGAGGAATCGAGGCAAATAACAAGCCTGCCCTTAAGGCAGGTCATGTCAGAAGCCAACTGTGGGTCTCTAACACGGAGGGCCCCTTCCCCTCTCCTCATCTTTCCCAGGCAGCCGTAGCAGGTAGGTCATCTCAGCTCTCATCTGCACCTCACTTCACGTATGCATTTCCAGTCTCTCTCTCTCACACACACACACCCCAGGGTATGAGCACTGGGCAGCACCCATCCGGATTTTAAAATGCATGTAGCCTTTGGTCCAGTAACCCCACAGGTTTACTCCTTGCCACCCAATAGGGCATGTACAAGGTTTTTGGTTGCAGGAAAAATGTGAAAGGATTCTAAATGCTCCTGTGTGGTTAAGTAAACGAAGCATTATGTAGCTCTTTGCAGTGACTGAAAGAAGTAGAACCGGTATATAAAACCACCTCTGAAGCCAGGTGTGGTGGCGCATGCCTGCAATCCCAGCACCCTGGGAGGCAGAAGCAGGTAGATTCCTGTGAGTTCGAGGTCGGCCTGGTCTACAAATTGAGTCCAGGACAGCCAAGAAACCCTGTCTTGAAACAAACAAACAAACAAACAAACAAACAAATAAAAAACACCTCTGAGGGGCTTTGTAAAAAGTGTGTTGTATGTATGTGTGTGCAGTTTATACACATGAATAGGTGTGTGTATGTCTGTGCAAGGGTACAGACACCAGAGAAGGATGTCAGGTACCTTCCTCTATCTCTGCCTTGTTCCTTTGAGCCAGGGTCTCTCCCTAAACTTGAGGCAGAGTGTCTGCCTAACCTAGAGCTCAAGTCTTTTCAGCTAGGGTGGTAGCCAGCAAGCAATCTTCCTGTCTCTATTCCTGGCCTCCGTGCTGGGCTTGCAGGCCTGCACAGGACCACAGCCACTTTGACTTGGATGCTGGGATATGAATTCTGGCCCTCAAGCTCATGAAGTGAGCTTATACAGCAAATACTCCTAATCACTGAGTGTAAAAAGAAGATGTAAAAAAAATACGTGTAATTTTTTTTTTGATAGAGGTGTATGTGTGTGTTTCCCTTGTTTTGAGGCAAGAGCTATCTATAGAGTTCAAGTTGGCCTTGAACTTATGATGTTCCTGATGCCTAGCTTCACGAGATTACAAGTGGGCACTTAGTACATACTTCAAAAGAAAAAAAAATGCATACTCCCCAGTCTGACTGATGGAGGAAGATGCTGATGAGGCTGTGTTTCCACCCAAGTGAATGTTTTTAACTTAGCAAATTAGTATCAGACTAAAGCAAAGCACTGAGCCTGCCCTTGTAGGAGGTGTGGCTTTTAGAGGGCTCACCTGACAGGGTCTCCAGGTGGTGGCAGGGAAGAGGCTTGGAAGCCAGGCTGGGGCTCTGCTGCAGGCTCCTCCTCAGGTTTCAGGGTTCCAGGATTAGGCTGGGAGGAGCTCTCTGTGGGCTCCATCTCCAGTGGGGGTTCTGGAGGATCTGAATGGTAGGAGAGGCAGCACTAAAGACCCCTTAGCAGGGCTTTATCCAACCCCTCCTGGGTATAAAGGGCCAGATTGGGATAATTGACATGGATGGGTAAACAGCCCCTTCCGGACCCCTCTAACATCAAATAACCCAGGAAGGGCAAGGGACAGGACATATCCAAGCTTGTGAAGTCCAGCTTACTCAAGCTACTGGAGTCCCATATCTGACTGAGGAGGTATTAGCAAGGCCTGAACTCTCCCCTTGCCTGGATGACAGCTAAAGCTTCCTTGAGACCACACACACACACACACACACACACACACACACACACACACTTTTTCTCTCTGTGTTTCTCTCAGGCTCCCCCTGGAGCCCACCCTCTGACCACTTAGGAAGCCCCTCCACTCCTTCTCTATACCTGGGTCCAAGACAACAGCCTCGGGTTCAGCTTTCCAGGCCTGGATGACAGAGATGAGACATGGTCAAAGTCAGCCCTGCACGTACCCCACCTTGACTAGCCATGTCCTGGCCCCATGTGCTCACATACGTATGCATGTGTGCATACACACGTGCGTGATGCTGGTGGCTGGGTTACGATGGTCCATCTCCTTTGTTAACCTGATTCAGGGTCACCTAGGGGACACACCTCTGGGCAGGTCTTTTAGGGTTTAACTGAGGAGGGGTGACTCGCTCTGAATGTGGGCGGCACCATCCCCTGAGCTGGGGTTCCAGACTCAACAAAAATGTTTAAGAAAGAGACAGACAGACAGACAGACAGACACCCATCATCATTCACTTCTGTCTGCTTCCTGACTGCAGATGCAACGTGACATGTTGCCATAGTTTCCCACCATGATAGATGATACCCACTTTAACCCATGAGCTAATATAAACTCTTTAAACATCTTTCGCCAGGAATTTTGTCTCATCTCCAAGAAAAGTGATTACTGCAGTGGCTCTGTTTGGCTCCCGAATGTTCCTAGGCCCTAGTCAGTCACTCTTCCCATGAAGGACACTGCAAGGAAAAGATCTACCCTCAAGTGGATGTTGGGGATTGGCCAACTGGAGTGGGCAGCTCTCTGGGCCCCAAGCCTCCCCAGTGGTCAGCTACCCACCCCCAACTCATCACTTACCTGAGAGGGTGTAGGGGGCTGAGGCAGCACTTTCTCCAGGTTCTGCTCAAGCCACCTGAGCAGCCACAGGCTGGGCCTATAGAAGGGTCAGCGGTCAGCAAGTGGGTAGCCTGAAATCAGGTCCATCAGAGCTACCTTGGCTAACCACCAGGGTCTAGGGCTACCCAGCCTCCTCTGCCTGGAGAAAGAGCCAACGGTCTAAGGAGTGAGTGAGTGACGGGTTGGATGGAAGGAGGTGGTTGGGCGGAAGGCGTGAGTCTGGGTTTCTTGCAGAAATCACAGAATGGTTCTTTGGGCTGATTAGGGACATAGCAACCTAGAAACTTAAAAACTGGCAATAGGTACTTTTTAAGGACTTTATAACAAATCCTTGGTTTCTAGACTTTGGCTTTATTTTTATTTATTTAAAAAAACGTATTAATTACACTTTATTCACTTTGTATCCCCTCTGTAGCTCCCTCCCGGCTTTATTTTTATTTGTTTGTTTTTGTTTTGCTTTTTGGGACAGGGTCTAGCTATGAAGTCCCAACTGGGTTCAAATTCATGATTCCCCAACCTCAGTGCTCCAGTTCTGGCATTATAGGTCACAGCTATGTGCCCTGTGTCCAGCGTGGTCTGTGGCTTTTTTTAAAACACAGGAGGCTCCGCAGTTAGACCAGGCAGAAGTGGCTGAAACTGGGCAGGGCCCCTCCCTGAGCACACTCCTCAGTGTGTCATTGTCCCCACCTGGCCTGACACACTCACTGACAAGGGCAGCTTCTTTTGAAAAGTCATAGGCTGTGACACTGAGACAACCAAGTTCACATGCCCCCCACCCCGTCCTATGGGGATCCAAGCCATCCTGTTTCAGATGCCTCATCGCCCCCATACTCCCAGAAGTCTGTCAGCACAGAGCTCATCCAGGCTCCCTTTCCTTCTCAGAGGTGGCCTGGTACAGTCCCAAGCCAACAGCAGAAAGCGTGGGCAGCCCAAGACGGCACCCTAGGCTACAGATAAGAAAAGCGAGATCGAAAAGAGGGAAGGGACACCCTTCAGGTCACACAAGCCATAGGTGCTGCTCTCAGCTCTATGCACGCTGCTTGGCCTGCTACAGACAACAGTGACCCTTGCTGGCAAGAACTTACTCAGTGTCTTGAGCTTCATCTGAGCCATCAGCCGACCCTACAGAGCCAGGAAATAAAGGACAGGGAGGCAGGATGAGGAAAGGTTTCTCAGTGGGTCCAAATCTGCACTTAGAGACTGTCCTGGCTGCAGAGAGACAGCAACTGCATATCTCAAAATCTAGAGGAAAGGCTGGCTGTTTTCACCAGGAAGATATGAGACATACCTGAGGAAATCGGTAGGGTTTATCCTGATTACAAAAGCATTTGGATAATGAAACATACATTGGTAGCAATTAAAATGCATGATGCTTTATATGTGAACGGATTGAAAAATATCCATGAAGTCAATGGAGAAAGAAGAGGCAAGGTAGGAAAAAGAAAAAGGGAGCAGAGAGGAAGGGAAAGAGGAGAAAATGAGGGGAAATGAAGAGAAGGAAGTTGGGAGGGAAGAGGGCAAGAAAGAGAGCAAACATCTGCCTGGAGCAGCACTGACCACTCAGCTCTGGCCGTCCAAGGCCAGTGGGTGAGCCACTCTCATGGACCATGGAAACTCTTCCCACTGCTGGTCCCATCCCAGTAGCCCCTTAGAGGTTCCCACCCCTGGAAAGCCATCTGCCTTTTTTTACTTACCTGGGTTCCCAGTGCCACAGGGCCCCCGGATCTGTGCTCCACCCTGCTGAGACAGGCAGACATTATAGAGAGTCCAAGGAGCAGCCTCCCTAGGCTCTACAATCCCCTGATGACCCTAACCCCACCCTCGGGTCACCCTGCCCTTGCACCTGATCCGGGTCTCCCAAGCCGCTGCTACAGACGGGCTGTGGCACAACCTTCTCCATGCCCTTCCAGAACCAGCTCAGCATCCAGGTCCTAGGGCTGCCAAGGGATTAGGGACATGAGTCTGCTCTCAACCCCTCACCCCATCAGAGTGACTGTCCATAGTATCACAAAGGATTTGACATGAATCAGACTCCCATAGTGAGTCTCTAAAACCTCAGTCCCTCTCTGAAACACACAAGGTACCCTCCAGTCCCTAGCCAAAAAGGCCAGGAAGACCTTTGGGACCTGCCCTCCAGTTGCTCCAAACAGCACAAGCAATCTCTCTCTACATATACCCCAATTAGCTTGTCCCTGCCAGCATCCTCACGTTTGGTGCTCCAAAAGGATTCCCTGAGAGCAGTGGTTCTCAATCTGTGGGTCACGACCCTCAAGGCTCACAGGACCCTTTCAAGAGAGTTGCCTAAGACCATTGGAAAACATAGATATTTACATTATGATTCATAACAGTAGAAAAATTACAGTCATAAAGTAGCAACAAAAACGATGTTATGGATGGGGGGTTGCCGAAACATGAGGAACTATATTACACAGTTGCGGCATTAGGGAGGTGGAGAACCACTGTCTTAGGGTATCTCTGGAGGCAGAGGCAGAAGCTGATCAGTTCCTGTGGGGATCCTAAGTCCCAGCCTCTCATTAGCCCCAGCCCAAGATCTGCTTTGCTGGACAAACTCAGCAGACTAGAATGGCTGACCATGAGGACCATGGGCTTCACTGGGAAATCAGCAGCTCCAGAACTAACTCGTGCATCATTGGTACCATTCTGGCTCCCCCACATTACCGTGGCCTGCCTGCCCACATTTCCATGGCCATCATCCCCACAGTGCTCAGAACACTTCCAACCTCCATAAAAGCTCCCCTGCCCATTTCCTGATGCTCCGTGCCTCTACTGACCGGCCACAGACCTGACTCACAGCTGTCCTCTCCATGCTAGTGCTCCCTGAAGGGGGCAGTTGGGAGGGGAGAGGGTGATACGGAACCTGTTTACCGTGGCAACATCAGTCTGGGTCTGGAAGGTGGGCTGAGGAGGATCAGCTTCCTGGGCCTCTGGAAAAAAAAAATCTCCATATTTCAGATGTGGACCCCAGAAGGTCCATTTCTCCCTTGCTAGGGAGATCAAGAAGTCAGAGACAGGGCAGAAGGAGGGCACCGAGGGGTTAAGGGGTGAGCTTCTCAGCCTAGCTCACTCCAAGCCTCCCTGAGGCTCTACTTCATCATCTGTGAAGTGAGCTGCTGCCAGGCTCTGAGAGGAGACCCCTAGCCCCTGCCCAGCCAGCTTGGGTCCCAGCACTCACCTTGAAGACTAGGGCCTGTCTCAACCACGTCGTCCCCTTTCACTGGCTCCTCAGGTGGCTGTAGGGTTCAAACAGGAATTAAGCCTTGACGAGGCTGGTGCAGAAAGCACAGCTCCGCATCGTTCTAGGGCCCTGCAGCCCCAAAGTTGAATGACGCGTTTCAGGATCATCTCTGAACCCCTGCTGGCCTTACCCTCCATCAGGGCCCTTCCTTCCTCACACCTCAGGGGTCCTGCACCCAAGCTGGGGCCTCACCTTCTAGCCTCATACCCCCCAAGGAGCTGTTCCACGTTAGTGGCCTGAGATGAGGGAAGAGCCATGGGGCAGACTGAGGAACAGAGGCCCACAGATGCTCCGGGGTCAGGCCTCTTCCTCCTGGTGCCCAAACTTTCCTTCCTGCCTCTGCTGTTTGCCTCTCCCCTGCCCCCCACCACCTCTTCTCCCACACACCATGTGCAGTCATAGGCAATTTCACATGGGCCTCCACGCGGATGCCCACAGGTGTATATTCAGACCTGGGCCTGGAGGACGGTGGGCAAGAAGACAGATTTCTGGGCCTCTGGAAAAGAGCCCCATACTTCAGATCTGGTCTCCCAAGAGGCCCTCTTCTCCCCGAGGTCATAATTATGTCTATGCACATAGAGACGTGAGCATGCATATCTTTCTTACTATTGCGCACACAGCAGTGGTATACATGTATGCACACATATAGAAAACCAGTGCATTCATACACATATACGTGTATCTACTTGCACACATACATGTCAGCAATACAGCTATGTTCATATACACACATGCATGTACACACATGTGCCTAGATGTGTCAGTGTATAAACACATGGACATGCGTGCATACAGATACATTTTCATATGTATAAAGACAGAAATTCGCATATATACATGTATGTGTGTGTTCAGTCACATAAACAGGCATTTGCACAATTATGTAAGCATATGTATATGCACACGTACACAAATACAAATACGCACACATCTAAAATATACACAAGTGTACCTGTGGCGTATAAAATATGGATGTATACAGACATGCACAAATGCATGATCAGACAAATAGATGCAGAAACACAGAAGCTCACACTCAGAAATCTGCACATTCACATGGAATCGTGCGCACATGTGTGCGTACCTGCATACAAATACACCCCCATGGGCATCCATACCCAGTAAAAACTTTCTTTTTTCATCCAGAAATACCTTCCCTCCGCAGCCCCTCAGTTAAAACCCCGGCACCAGCCTCCGTGTCTAGGGAGCATGCCTCACCAGCTTCCAACTTCACAGGCGAAATGACCCCGGCTCGTGAGCTCCCGCAAGAGCTTTGAGAGCAGGGCTGGAGCTGGGTCCCTTCCTAGCCCTGCCTCCTGGCAGAAGGAGCTCGTGGGCCCTTGTGTGCCGACCCCCGGGGCAACGCCTGATTGATTCCTCTTTGTGCCTTTTGCTCTGAGCTCGGGGGTCCAGCATCAATTAGAAGCTAAGTGAAATCTGCTTAATTGAGCTGCTAAATTAGTTGTCGCCAGGCCCAAGAAGGGATGAGATGAGGAGCTGGCAAGTGCTCATATGCTTGACCGAACATTCTAGAAAAAACGTTCCTCAATATGTGGCACATGGACCCATGCCAGCCTGCAGACTGCTAACTGGCCCATGGTGATTGAACAGTTTGGATCAAAAATCAAGGGTTGGTGGATGGCGCGGTGGGTAAAAGCACGTGCTGTCGACCCGAGGACAGGTCTCACAGGAGAGTTACCCTCCGACCCCTACACGCGCATACACAATAAGCAAATGTAACAAACTATTAAAAAGTCCATCTCCTGTCTCAAAGTGTATATACTCAGTGGAACGCTAATCTTTTTAAAAGTTGTTTGTTTGTTTGTTTATTGGCTTTTTGAAACAGGGTTTCTCTGTGTGGCCCTGGCTGTCCTGGAACTCTCTCTGTATATCAGGCTGGCCTGGAACTCCAATACCTGACTGCCTCTGCCTCCTGAGTGTCCTCTCACTGCTGGGCTTTTTTTTTTTTTTTTTTTTAAGATAATATATCTATATAATTTCTTCCTTCCCTTTCCTTCCTCCAAACCTTTCTATAGACCCCTCCTTGCTCTTTTTCAAATTCATGGCTTCTTTATTCATTGATTGTTATATACATATATGTATATGTCTGTACCTCCACATTCCTAAATTCACAAATCCAACCTGCTCAGTCTGTATAGTGTTGCTTGTGTGCATGTTTTCAGGGCTGACCCTTTGGTAGTGGAGAACCAGTTGGTATGCTCTTGGGAAAGACTAATTTTCCCTGCTCTCAGAATTCCTTAGTTGCCTGTAATTCTTGTGTAGGGTTGAAGCCTCCCCACCCTTGTCCATTTTAGCATGTCTATTGTCCCAGCACCCATCAGGCAGCTCACAGCTATGTCCGGGAATCTGATGTCCTCTTCTAGCCTCTGTGGACACTGAGCTTATGTGAGCGCGCGCGCGCGCACACACACACACACACACACACACACACACACGTATAATATTTAAGATGAATCTTTTAAAAATACTGTTTCTTAAAAGCTATATTAATTTTTTACTTCCTGTATTGAGAAAGTCTTTCTATAGAAGAAGTACCACCAAAAGGAAGTGGGGTACGCCTATTCTGAAGCTTTTTTCTGAATCTCCTCACGGGATGGAGATAAGTGGATTGTGGACCAGAGTCTAGAGGGTCTCTTCTCTAGACTCCAGGGGCTGGCAATCCGGTCAGAGGCTACTCAGAGCCTGTTGCTGGTATCATAAATAGTGCGTGTTACGCAATGCAAGCTGGTATTTGATGTGTGCACGTTCTTGGGGAGTGTGGTCCCGTGTACCACGCCTATGTTAAGAGGGCAACCTCAGGTGTCTGTCCTTGTACCTCCTGTCTTGTCTTGAGGCGGGGTCTCTTTGCGCTTTTTCAATGTGTTAGCCAGGCTAGCCGGCCCGGGAGCATCCAGAGAGCCGCCTCTCTGCATCCACCTCCCTGGAGAAGCGCTGGGAATACAGATGCTTGTGCGACTGCGTCCAGATTTTACATAGATTCTGGGGATTTCAACTCAGGTCTTGGTGCTTCGCCGTAAACGCTCTTACCCTCTACGCCACCTCTCCAGCCCCGTGAATGAATTTTGTCAGCACACAGCCGTGCTCTCATTCCTTACGCCTTCTATACAGCCGTGCTCATGCTCTAGACGGCAGGGCTGAGCAGCTGAGATGGCGTGGCTCGCAAAGCCTGTCTCACCTTGCACGGAAACAGCCTTGAGCAAGCCTTGTGTGGACCTGTGTGGCTTCGTTAAGATGTGCCCTGAGCCAGTGGCCACATTTCCTGGCTGGCTCCCATGTTCTCTCTTGAGAAACCCCGTGGGGAGCAAGTGGCCCAAGCTGATGAGTCCCTGGGCAGCAAGGCCAGCCTGCCCTCCTCACCCTCTCCCCTCACCAGGCTCTGGACCTCTGGCGCAGCCTCTTCAGGGGCTGTTTCAGGTTCCGGCTCTGGTTCCGGCTCAGGCTCCGGCTCAGGTTCTGGTTTTGCTTCAGGTTCCAACTCTGGTTCTGGCTGTGGTCCTGCTCCCTCGTCGGTCTTCTGAGGGGGCCCCGGAGGCTGAGGCAGCACCTTCTGGACCCAGCTCAACATCCTGACACCTGTAAGTGACAGAATCTTTAAGCCACCGCAGTGCTCACAGGAACTCTCCTCATTCACGGCCACTTCAGGGGTTGCGCATGCCCTTTGCCACGCCTCATCTTTAAAAATTATTTCAGCTGTATGCAGTGGCTGCTGAGGGTAAGAGCACTTGCTGCTCTTCCAGAGGATGCACACTTGTTTCTTAGCACCCATGTCAAGCAGCTTATTAAGCACCTGTAACTCCAGTTACAGGAGGTCCAACACTTTCTTTTGGCCTCTGTGAACACTCACACATACCTGGAATACAGAAGCGTACAGAATAAAAATAAATATTCTTCAAGGTTTCTGAAATTATGTGCTGCCCTTTTTCCACCCCGGCCCCAGACACGCATAACTGCTCCCCGCCCCTGCATTCTGGATTCTCGAATGTGACAAATTTCTGTATCATGTGTGACCTTTGAGCATGACTTCTTTCAGTTAGCCTATGCATCTGAGATTCCTTTGTAAGTGTTCCTGTCACTAATTCGTTTGTTTCTGTTATGGAGTAGTATTCTCTGATATGGATCTTGCATGCATACCTTGCATCTCCGTTTCCAAGCTGAGGAAACAGTTTTTTTTTTTTTTTGGGGGGGGGAGTGTCAAATAAATCATACATAAATTTTAAAAAAGTATTTCTTCAAAAGCTATCAGAGGCTAGCCATTGAAAAGAATCTGAACGTTCCTTGTGGGTGAAGTCTGTATTAAGTAAACTGTAATGCAGCCAATAATGGGATATAGGGAACTGCTGAAAAGAAGCCCATTCGTTTGGACAGGCAATGCTCATGCTCCAGTGTGGTCATGAGCAGATCATTTAGACTCCCCAAGTCTCTGTTTGCCTATCTGCAAAGTGGGGGCACTGAAGCCAGGCGTGGTAGTGCCTACTTAGACTCTAGCACTTGAGCAGTGGAGGCAGAAGAAACCAGGCTAGCCTGAACTAAAAAAAAAAAAAAAAAAAAAAAAAACCAGGAGATATTTCTAGTCCCTACCTTGTGGGCAGAGTGTGAGAATACAATCCATTAAGAAAGTCAGGCATGGTGGCACAAGTCTTTGGTCCCAGTATTTGGGAGGCAGGGGCAGGCAGATCTCTTGCAAGTCCCAGGCCAGCTGGGTACACAGTGAAACCCTATCTCAAAGCAAACAAATAAACAAAAATAAACAAGGAAAAATTGATAAAGGCAAAATTCTCAGAACAATAACTGAGTCCCCACTTAATTTTGAGTTATCTGTTCAGATATCAGCTGCTAGCCAGTGATTGGCCCATGCTGAGGGTTAACGGCTGGTCCAGGCCACAGGGACAGGTACTGAGTGTGAACACCGATTGTGGAATGTCATGTACTGCTGAAGCCGATGACAGAAAAGTAATACCAGGGGCTTATTAATGGGAAGTCTGTATTGTGTAAGATAACATTAGCCGGGTGATGTAGTCTCAGCTCTCAGGAAGCAGAGGCAGGCAGATTTCTGTGAATTTAAAGCCAGCTTGGTCTACATAGCAAGTTCCAGATAGACAGAGCTACACAGTGAGAGTTCTCTCAAAAATAAATAAAAAAAAAATAACAGCACTTATCATTTTTTAACCTTGAAGATAAAATGCCTCTGTCATAGTTGATGATGACGTTTCAACCAATCTTGGTGAGACTGAATTCTTGCAGGGTGGCCTGGCTCAGTTAGCATCAAAGATGGCAAGATTGGCACAAGGCCACCCAGGACACAGGCCTACCCAAGGTTATACCTCCCTGCCTGTCTCTGCCAAGACCCTTGAAAATAAAGTAGCCCCTGGCCAGGGATCCCTGCCCCAGTCCAGCTTTCCAGAACCCACTGCCAGGCCGCTTGACTGACCCAAAACCTTGACCTCTGCCCCAGCTCTGGCTCAGCTTCTCCCAGGACAGCCTCTGTGGGGGCAGAGCTTAAGTTGCGGAGGCAGATCGGCCTGCAGAGAAGAAACTGGGGACAGATACAACCACTGAGTTCTTCTAGTTCCCTGCTGGCTGCGGGGTGTGGACACAGTGACATTCCTCCCAAGGTCATGCATTTGGAATGGCAGAACACACAGACCCCAGCCACTGGCCAGCAGCCCTGAGAACCAGACCTGAAGAAAGCCCTCCTTGACACCTAGTTCTTACACCCCTCTGATACCACTCATTCTCCGGACCATCTCCTACTCCCTATAAAGGGGTTATCCATCCCTCAGGCCAACAGACTTGCCTAAGATGATTCTGGCCAAGATGAACTTACTCTCAGATCTGCCCTGAGTCCTGACTGCCTTCTCTTGACTTTCCGCTGTCGGACCAGGGGGTAACAATCCTGGCTTGCATTTCTGAACTGTCTGGAGGCCATCTAGGGAAGCAGCCCACTAGCCCAGATTTCCTCTGGATGGGAATTTGGAGGCCCATCTTGCTAGCCTCCCACTTTGAAAGGGGAGCCTGAAGCAGGAAGAGGACTTAGAGGTAACCACCCCAAAAATCTGTAGTGTGGACCACCAGCATTCTGATAATATTCTGAAGGATCTACAGAAAATACAGATTCCTAGGTTCCCCCAGACCCTCTTGGGGTGTCAAATCCACATTTCTCAGGGTGCCCTGAAGATAGCAACGTCTAAGCCACAGAATAGACTGTGCGTGCGGAGGGGACACCATAACTCTCCTGCCTGGTCTGTTTCATCACCTCAATGCCTTGCTATAAGCTGAGTATGGGGACTCCCCCACGGAGTCCCATGGAGCTCCCACTTCATTTTGAGTTACCTGTTCAGATGTCAGCTGCTAGCCAGGAATCACCTTCTCAATGCCCCTCAGCGGCTCAGACACAGCCTGTCAGACACAGCCAGGATTAATTGGCACTAGATGGGCGGGTGCAAAGGATTAGCATGTGTAGCAGGGGATGGGGGCAGGGTAGAAAGACGGCTGGTGCCCAGGGGAGCCAGCAGCCACCCAAGTGTCCAGCAGGCAGGATCCTAGATACAAGGTTTCGAGCCCTGTGAGTTGCTAGGGAACCTGCCCCAGTGCTAGGGCCTGGCTTCCCACACGCTCTGACAAAGCCAGAGAAAGGCTGCAGGACAAGCAATAGCCTGGATACCTGTGTGATTCTGGAAGACATCTCAAGATGACAGGAGCCCAGCAGCTCAGTCAGGGAGACAAGAGTGTGTCCTTGCTCTCCAGCCCTGGTGCTGGGACTCAGCAGGATCTCTGTGGCGGAGAGTCTTTAACAGCTTGAGCCTTACCACCCAAACCTTGGCCCAGTACAAGGCTTTAACCAAAATCTGTATTTATCAACATCGCCGGAGAAACAGAACCAAGAGAGTATGAAGTCTCAGGACCAGAGAACCTGGGATATAGTCCCTGTTAGAGGTCCCAGGCCTCAGCATCCCTGAAGAATGGCTGGTGCAAGAAACAGCATCCAAAGTGGCCAAAGGACCCAGAGTCTGAGATCCAAGGCCAGCAGCAGCAGGAAGAACCACACCCTGCTAAGGAAGATGAGTTTCTTCTCTTTCCACTTTCCTGTTACTTCCCAGACACTAGCCGAGTGGATTTTTCCAACCCACACTGAGTCTTCAGTTTTTATGACCTCCATGACAGTTTGCCTGTAACCACATTCCCAGATACACCCATAAGTCATGCTTCACCAATGATCTAGTTCCTAACCAGCCAAGTTATACCCAAAATTAACCGTCTTGACCATTACAGATTCCAAGGCCTGGCTTATAACTGACTGCATTGGTAAACTGAGGCTGGACTCTCAGGAGAGATACCGACCCAGGAGGTAGAGGGGATGCAAAGGTCAGTGGCCCAGGGGAGGGGGGCTCCGTGATATAGCAGCACCTGGGTCATTTCTAGGGTCACGAGATGTTCAGTGAGAGGCAGAGATTTAACCTGACCATCTGGAGCTCTTACTGTGTGCCTAGCTGTGGGCCAACCCTTGGCATGTTGAATGAAACTGGTTTCGGGCTTCCTCCCCAGCCCATTGTCCCACTGCATACTGTAATAGAACACCTTAAACCCAGCAATTACAAGCAACAAAAAAGTACTGTTCACTGATGCAGTAGAAGATCAAAGCAAGAGAAGAGGCCGTATCTGGGAAGCACCTGTTGGTCCTAGGTGGTGATGTCTGTCTGACTCCTAGCCATGGGCACCAAGCTTGTTTCCACTTTGGACCATAAACCACATTGCTCTGAGCATCTGCATGCAAGGCTTCGTGGCACCTGTTCACCGAAGTTTACTCTGAGGGACCAGTGAGGTCATCAGGCTTACTTACAGAGCATGGGTGAGGGCTATATTTCCAGAACGTGGGTGCTCCTCCCCCAAAAGTCTACACCAGAAAGTCTTTACCCAGCAGGAATGAAGACTTTCTTTTAGTTGCACAGATGGAGGTTCCTGGCTGCCCCACCTGATGGGGGTCTTCCTTCGTCTTAGCCCCTCCAAGGCCACATTTAGTTAGACCAGAGTTGTCTATGTCAGGTGGTAGGGGGCGGCTGCATACACCACACACACACACACACACACACACACACACACACACACACACACAC